ACAATTGGCGATTGACAATTATAATTCTTAGTTGTGTTCTAAACCTAAACTGTAGAGTAAAAGTAAAGCGACATCTGAAGATTTGTATCGGTACTAAAAATGACATTAAGTTTGGTTTGACCTTGAGCTACCCACGTGAAACGTCTAGTTATTAGTGGTCTGTGGCAATTAATATCTCGCAGAACAACTAGAGAGTCATGTATGGGGATATTGGTAAATAGGGATGATACATCGAAACTGACGAGAATGTCTTGGGGATCGACCGTGAGGGAGGAGATTAAGGTGATGAAATGTGTGGAATTTCGGACATAAGAAGAGGTACGACCAGTATAGGTTTTAAACTGATTCGACCAGTGAATTAATTTATTTATAACAGTTTTAAATCAAATTGAGCCGTAAACATTGGCAGTTTGGTTAATGGTAGTTATAGAACAATTCAAAATGAACACTTCAATGTTTGGCAAATGTTTCTATGTTAGTTTTTTGCCGAGATATTGAAAATTGATTTACTTAATTAATTAAATTAATTTCAGTATTCAACTGTTCGCTATATTAAGATCCCAGTAGAAATCTCCTTCACGCATATCGTTTAATATTATTATTTATTTTTATTTTAAAAACTAGTCTTCGATAACTGTTTCTCCATTTAAGCAGATTGATTTCATAATATCTGTCGTTAATGCATTATTCCAGTTAGATAAGATTGACAGAATTTTTATTTCACTATTTGCATATAATTATAATATTTGCATATGCTTATGTAGTTCGTTTGCTTTGCGAATTGGTCGAATCAGGATAATTATTACATAATCCATTCGTAAAAAACTAACGAATCATTGTTAACAAGTGTTTTATCAATTATTAGGTGTAAAAAGTTTTCCAGCGGACAATCTAACATTCGATATAAGAACTATTTAATTGAATTGTTGAAGAGCTGAAGCTGTAGGAAAACGCAAAGTCATACTGAGCAAAAGAAACGATACACCATGGTTTAAAAAAGAAATTAAAGGAGAAATGTAAAGAGAAACGAGAGGCCTACACAGAGTACGAAACATTTTGCTTTTCCGACCAGGTGAAATTTTTCCCAAAACTTTAGGACCATACGTTATTTACGCATTTCTGGCAAAAAAATTTTTTAAAGAAACAACAAGGCAAATTAAGGTCATGATAAAGTCATGTTGGACTTATTTGTAGGTGTTTATTATTATTTCAATGTAACTTTTGTTTTATTTTGTGTTCATATTGTAAATATTTAGATTAATTAAAGTGGTGCGTTAATTTTGTCCAGGAGTTTATATTATTTTATAAATTTACGTATAATATATATTATATATCATTGATCACAACTGTACGAAAAACATGGCGATTGATGAAAAGGTCTATTATAATATTGTTTGCTGTTTTGAATAAAAGTACATAAAGAGAAGTGTAACAATATTCAATCTCCTCTTAAAAAAGTATCATGCTCAAAAATAATCTCATGTAACTGTATAAATAATTTAAATACGTTTTCTGGAATTTTATTGTAAAAGGATGTAGGCGGTATATTCTGTCTTTATTATCATTGTGTCACAACCCACATACTTACGTAATTCGTGTGCCTACAAGAAAGAAACATTCGTGAGTGAACTTATCTATAGATAAGAATATTCCGGCCGGCATCGGCATATTCAATGAAATTTCGAGGAAAGTTCAACACAGGTAAATAATAGTACAGGTTATTGTCAAATAAGATTGTTGTCGGCTGAAATAAAAATATTTGTTTTTAAATCAACGGGCCCCAAATTTAATTCATTATCGTACGAATTTTTCTTAAAAGTTAGATTAGAATAAATCAGCTAAAAAAATTATTGTTTTAATAGTTTAATATTAGGAAAAAAGCGAGAGACAAGAAAGGAAATCAGACAAAAATTTTACCAAAAGATAATTATATATGGAAAACTGTGGATGTGGAATAGGTATAAAAATATATTGGAAGAAACAGTCCTAAAAGTTTTAATAGAAAGCACACAATACAAATAAATCAAAAGGAAAGTGACCCTGAAATTTCTTCAATCTTTGGACCCAAAAATCAGAATATACTTGTCAGAAGTTTTTTGTGTGCTGAATCCAAATCTGAGCTCTAAATTGGTTCTGGTTTCTGAGATATCCTAACCTAAAAGTGCAACAATGGCGGTTTTGGGCCGCCTTTGAAGTTGTAGCTCAAAGGATTGTGTAATATATGAGGAGCTTTTTAACAAAACTGCTTAAATCCAATTTTCAAAAATTTTCAGGACACATAAAAACGTGCTGCAGCAGTTGTACTAAATTTTTTGAAATTTCAGAGAACGTAATCAATTTTAGATTTTGAGAAATAAAACGTTAATTAACATTATTTTTATTGATTTGAATTAACAAAATGTGGCCATGTGTCTGTTGGAGATATCGCGTTTTGTAAAAAAAGATGGGAGATATTAACTTTTGTCTAACTAACAATATCTTAGAAATAAAAAATATCAAAACAGTACCCACTAAAACAAAAAAAAAGAGGAGTACAAAAAATTGAGATGTGAACTATTTTTTGGCTCATCTTCCGAGCAATCACACTCGCTATCATGCTATTAGTTGTGGGTATCTGGATCACTAGTAACTTTGTGTTGAAGAACATTAATATACCAATGAAGATCAGGGAACTCTTTCTAATTTTGTCCAAAGTGGGTTTGCAATAAATGAAGGACCTCTTTTTTTTCTCTTCAGTCACGGAATGAGATAGTGGGATTTGGGGAAGAGCCTGAACAAAATCATTTTTTTTTACAATGCGTCTAAAAGTTTCTGTTCCACTATCGAACCTATAGTTGGCGCAGCATTTTATTTTGATTGAAGTATGCCGGTCCCTTGTTTTGATTTTCTTAATAATGAGGCTTTTGGTCTGGCTGACTCCTTTTATTTTTTAACAAATCATTTCAAGGCTTTTGATATCGTATATCACCCAGTCTTCTCCCAGTTTCTGTACAGAGCCAAACTCCTCGTAAATAGAAACATACTCTTCGCTCGATGATGGTATGAGTTTTTTTACATGAATTTTCTACACATTCTCTGGAGCCTCATTTTTAACCCAATGGCACAAAACATGAAGAATATGAGCATTTTTATTTTGGCCAACGCAACCATCACAAAACAACAATACTGCAGAAAAAGACGAAAGATCTTGGCATCTTAAGTGATGGATGAGTGCAGATCCAATTTCATTTACTCCTCTGCTTCCCTGCGTTTCATTCCACGTATAAAATGTTGGTGCCTTTGAGTCAATAGGCACACAGCAAAATGCATACAATGCGATTTGTCGGCGATAAAAGGCATCGCCGATTGGAGTTTTAGGGAGTGGGTGCACTTGTTGCAAATCAAAAACAAAACTATAAGTATCACTGGGAACTTCCTTCATTAGTTTGTAAAACGCATCCGCTCTCAGCTTGTGAATATTGGACTAATTCTTTCAACTGAGCCGCGAGCGTTTTGTTGACTAAGATATCTAAGACGATTGCACGTAGAGCATGCGTCTGTAGCTGGAGAGGAAAATCCAATGTTAAAATCGGTTACAAAAATACGGTGAAAACATGAATAGCTCACGTTTAAATCGGCAGTGTAAGCATCCTTATACATTTTATAAAACTTATTTACACTTAACTCTACTGAAAGGTAAACTCTCTTACTTTTGCCTCTTCCATAATGAAATTAGAAACCATTTAGTTTACCAAGAAATTGACGGACTGTCTCCTTTTTGGCTTTGGAAAAAGCTTCTCGTCGATAACAACCTCTATTTTCTTTGGGCAGAAGACCTTGATTGACGACCTTTCCAATCTGCAGTAGTCGACAGGCAGGTACACCCATTGAGAAAGCAAAAAACTTTTTACAGACAGTACTACAGTCTACTCTGCCATGTAGACTGCTTATCGATTAATTTTTATATCATCGTAGGATACCGCAGCACAACGAAGATTTTTCGAATTATGGGCACATGGTCTGGTCTTCTGTTTTAGAAACACTAAATGAGGATTACTATCGTTGTACTTCATAATTTTTGAACGCCCTCTCTTACTTGTTTTGATGGATAGTCTTTTTTTAGATCCCACCGATAAATTAGCAACACTATCCATCTCAAAATAACACGCAAAACACAGAAACAACGTTGACATACAACGAATTCACAATACCCTTCTCATCGAACGGAAAAGTACTGATAATCTCACTCACACTGTCCACACACACTGTCAGTGCGTCCCGTGAGTAGTTTTAGAACTAACGAATATTGTATTTTGTTTCATGAATCAACATCTAATTCTAGAGGATGCTTTTAAAACCAAACAAAAATAGTAAAGGGGTAGTTCTGCAGGCCGGAGGATTTATGCAGTTTTGTAAAACAAAAACTAATTTTAATGGTTAGCTAAAGGAGTTGTTAAGTTTAGTATAAAAAAATAGTGAACATGGGGTAAAGGTTTTTGAGTGGATTAATTAAGTTTTGTGGAAGAAACGTGATTGTTAGGCTCATTTTAAATGGGAAATATTAACTTTTAACACATGAGACTTATACACAAGATCTAAGGCATGAGGAGTCTAAAAACCTGTCGGACGATTCGAAGCAAGACTTAACGGGATTGAGAGATTTCTACTAAAATCTGAAAGCATGGGCGCCCTATATTTATAAAGAACAATTTATATGTTGAGAGTCGGTCGATAAAATAAATACAAATGTTATAAATTAATTGTGTTTTTAGTGTTAGTGTTTGTAAAGGTTGTAAATAAATTAAAATAAACATAACAATGTATTGAGATTTCTGAATAGACCAAAACCATTACACTGAAACTTTTTCACATAAAACTTTACACTAACTCTTGATAATATCTTCCTTATCTACAGAACCGATCTAACTAGATATTTATAATGTTTGTGAAACAAATTGAAGCTTTAAAATTAATTTAATAATCGTAAATGTTGCTCTACTTAGAAATCGTTTTATTTCTAGATCTGTCGTTTTTGCTGGCATCGTATTAGAACTGATGAAAATGGATTGTGTCCAGCTTGCCGTAAGGCTTATTCGGAAGATCCTGCCGACTTCATTCCTTTATCTCAAGAGCAGGTAAGATTTGCAAAAATAGTTTATTTAAACTCTATCGAAATGGTGTATATGTTATGGAAAAGGAGCATAATGAGAAAACGATTAAAAATATTGGAAAATTTTTTTGGTATAAATACTAATCAGAAATAACATACAGTGTAGGAAAAATTTTATGGTCGGTATGGACCTTACGTGAGATGGAGTGAGAAACAGCTGTTTAAAAAGAGAGAGGTATATTAGGTACGCCCTTTATATCGCCGAATGGAAATATTAAAAAAGGGGAAATTCAACGTTGCCAAACTTATTGGTTTTATTTGACCTGTTGTCTTTTTTTGCATTTGAACAATGTTCTATCAAGAAGATAAAATGCTCAAGATAATCAAATTTGGGCGAAATTGATTTAAATGGCAGGTTACTGTTTTTTTTTTATTGGGAATATGCCACAAGTTTTCTTTACAATAATTGTAATATAACATTTTGATTTCCATTTCGGAAATCGTTTTATATAAATAAAATTTATTAATGTTTCGTATTTTAAGTACGATTTCCGAACTAAAAATCTAAACATCAAAATAATTTCCCAATATGAAATAATAAACAATTAAACATGCATACAATAACGCCAAATTAAAAAATATTCATACACTAATTTATTTGGCAACGTCTAGTCTAGATAGTCGTCTGGTAAAAGATCGAGTAACGAGAAGTAGAGGTGGGTCGTGCTAGTTTATCGTTAAGAGCGTAGGTGCAAAATTTCGGGGCAATGTTTTTTAAATGCATTCATTTTTTTCGAATCCTGAGAAAACTAATAAATATTTTTGAAAAAATTAAACGCAGAATGAAACAATACATTATTACCGAGAGCTGAAAGTCCCTGAAAACTTCTATAATGTTTATTTTAATAAGTTATAGGGATGAAAAAAAAAAACAAAATTTAGTGTGATTTTTAATTTCAAATATCTCATTAAAAAAACTTTTTGTTTATTCTAAGGGACCTTCGGCCCTCGGTAATAATGTAATCTTTCATTCTGCATTTAAATTTTTCAAAAATATTTGTTAGTTTTCTCAGGATTCCAAAAAAATTTAAATTTTTTTGAATGCTAAAAAGCATTTAAAAATTTTAATTTTCATAAACAAGTAACTATGATTGTTTAAAAGTAGTTTCAAGTAAGATAGTACCTACATAAACAAACATAACGGCTATTATCGTTTATGTGTGTATATCTTTTGAAGTGAAAGAAACAACCTAATGATATATTTATTATAACTTGAAAAATAAACTAAACAATCATCATCATCATATAACGGGGGTCCTACGGCGATTGCCGCTTCCCGCATTTCAGCCTCCATCTTTTCCTATCTCCCCAATCTCCCTCTTCTAAGCCTCTAGATTGCATTGTTTTTGTAATTTCTCTTCTCCAGGAATTTGGTGGTCTTCCCCTTTTCCTTCTTTCTGGCGGAACATACATTAAGGCTTTCTTTGGCCACCGCTCCTCCTCCATTCTCATCACGTGACCATACCATTGTAATTGCCTTCCTTGTATTCTATCTGAAAGAGTATCTCTAATTCCTGTACGGTTTCGTATTTCCTCATTCCTGATTCTTTCCATTCTCGATACTCGACATGACCTTCTAAGATAATCCATTTCCACAACGTCTACTTTATCTCGTTCATTCTTTGTCATCGTCCAACATTCGGCACCATATGTGGTAATTGGTTCTACAATTGCTCTGTATACGCGAAGTTTGGTATGCATCTTTATTTTATTAGACCACAGTAATGAATTCAGTATTCGGATGCATTTTTTCCCTTGGGTTATTCGGTTTTGTACATCTATCTTAACTCTGCCATCTGCTGATATGATGCTTCCTAGATATTTATACTGGTTGCAGCCTTTTATGACTGCGTTTTCAAGCCTCAGATCTGTGGTATTTCCTCCAATTTTTAAATATTCTGTTTTAAATATTCTGTTCTAAACTAAACAATACAAATAGTAAATCGGACTTACATTTACATTACACGTTATTATTAAATCGCGAATAGTCTAAATTGACATAAAAACTATTGTCCTGTGTTAAATATTGTCCTGTTAATGCGAAGTAACTCTCAGTTACTCCAGATGTCCAGAGGTCAGTAGTAATACAGATATTTTCTACTTCTTTAACAACTTGCGATCTAATAATTTGCTCACTTTTGACATAACATTCCTGAAGTAATGAACCTGACAAAGTTTTTCTTGTTGGCGGTTTATATCCAGGAATCCACCCTGCAAACTTTTTAAAAGCTGGTTCTTTAACTATGGAAAACGGATGAAACGAAAAGTTTAGTAAATCTTGAAAATCAATCAGTCCAAGAAAAAGAAACTGATAAAGATGACTTAAGTCCATGGTGTATTTTTGATGAATTAATTGGACATGACTCATCTAAACATACACCTGTATCGAGAGGTATAAAAGAAGTCGACATGTAATTGTCTGATGATATATTACCCACAAACAATTTCGAACGGAGATTGGAACTGTCCATTACCGTGGTGAAAAAACCATCGCCATGTATATCGTAACTTAACCACTATATTCATAAAATGTTGTAGTATTGTAACAAAATCTTTTCCTTGTGAACACATGTTTAACATCTGGTATAATTTTAAATAAAAGAAGAACGCGATTAACAAGAAAAGTGGAAAAACTTATGTTTTTAAATGTCAATTTAGACGATTCGCGATTTAATAATGTGTAATGTAAATGTAACTATTTAAGTACCATTTGTATTATTTAATTTATTTTTCAAGTTACAATAAATATATCCTTCGTTAGGTTCTTTTATTTCAATACTTATACACATAAACGATAATAGCTAATATGTTTGTGTACTCGCTAATTTGAATACTGGTAAACAATCAACTAGTTACAGTTTACGAAAAACGGTTCCGAAAAAAATTAAAAAAACGAGAAGACCCACCTCTAGTTTTTTAGGTATATTAGGATCGGAACCAGAGAATATCTGATCGGAACTAATCGTCTCACTAATGGGCAATGGCCAATGAGTGTTAAAAGGATTTTAGGAGGGGAGACGAAGGGGAAATATGATTGTTATCTTTGTCTAATTCATTGAAAATATGATTTTATATCTGCGTTAGATATCCTGTTAAATTTTACCATACCGACCTTAAAATTTTACCTACACTGTATAAAATCATGTACGTCACAACCAATAAAGAAATATAAAAATATAAAACAGCTCGTGTTAAACCGACATAAAAATATTAAGTATTTCTTCCAAAAGATGCCACTTGCGATATAAATGAGAGAATTGTACTCACGGCATAATCGTAATTATCTGATTCAATATATTAAACTAAATAAATATTGGAACTTCTGCCCCAATATTTAAAGATATTTAAAGATAACCATTATTCATCGGCATTGCCGAAGGGAATATTTGAAAACGAGGTATACACGAGAATATTTTGTTTATAAAGAGTTGGTTTAGAATACAGGATCCCTTAAAGAAAATCAAGTGTCTGTAAAATTCTTCTTCCTCTCTATAAACAATTGTTTGTTCATTGGCGCATTGACACCTATGTGGAAAATTCATCTCGATATTTTGCTTGCTCGACTAGTACTTCTATCGTTTGGTTATTTATCTCTTGCTATTTTGATATTCATTCTACGTTTAATTCTTTTTTCTATTTAGTATCTCCTCGTTTATATCTAGTACGTTAATTTTTTTTATTATTCTAGGGAACTTATCTATTATTCATAAGTTGAAATAGTGTCAGCTCCCGTTTATCCGTATGGTTGATTGACAAGGTTTTTGCTGATAACGAAAATCCGCTAACTGTTTAAAATGAGTCAAAGAAAAGCAAAAAATAAAAATTTAGTTTCACCTAAAGCTTCAATTTACAAATTTCATTGTATACTTACATTTTGTACACTTTTTGACAGTGGTATGTCTCTTTTTCCTGCTTTTTTGTGTGGAAAATGTATTTAATGATTCTACATTGCAATATAGAAGTTCATTCACGTGACATAAAGCTGCATCGTTAGTCATTCCCAGGTGCAGACCCTCTTCTTTTTCATCACTTTCCTCTTCGTTTTCTCCTCGGCTTTTTTTTAATGTCTTCATCCTCTAGACGTTCTAGTGGCGTTGCAGTCTATATACTCCTGTAAATTTCTTGCGCCCACATTTCATTCCCGAGGAACGGAGTTCACTCAACTTGTAAGGTCAGTCAGTTCATTTTCATCTTTACCAACTGCTAGTTCTTCACAATTTTCGATATTTTGTAAAAATTGTCTCCATGCCTTTACAATTGTTGACTCCCTCCCAGGCATATGCAATTTTCAGAATTTCAAACAGTCTTTATCAAGACTTGGTAAAACTCACAACATCCAGAAGTTAATATGGATAAATGCTTAGGGGTACTTCATACATTATACATGAAACCCCTAAGCAGTTTGAAATCGATCAATCAGTGAGAGGTGCGAGACAGATAGCATTTAGTTTTGTTTGCTCTCTCTTGGGCATTATTAAGGCTTCCGCTAGTTAGTACACGCTCGAAGGGCGTTGGCAATTAACAACATAGCTTTTTGTGGCAAATTGTTTACTTTTAAACGTTTTAAAAGCAAACTTGTAGTCTTTCTGCTTTAGTGCCCTTAAAATATATGTTTTTTTGCCTTACCAATCACTGCCAACTTCAGTTTGTGCCTGCTTGCAGCAACGCTGCAGGACATAATCGTGATCCGTTCTTTGCTGGATTTGTGCCTCCCGCTTTACTTTTCGTCTGAACTGGAGGACATTTTAAGAAGAACCCCTATTCGTTTGTTATATTTGTTCTCAGCTCAGATTATTTGAAGAAATGAAAGTCTTATTCGTCACTTTTAAATTCCTCAGCTCCTTATTGGTCATCGTTGAGCTTATCTCCATAAGTCCCATCTTCTTTATCCCATGGCGTTGCTTAAAGTAATCAACCACCCAGATGATGCATGAAATTTTCTGTTCTATCAAAACCGTTTTGCTCTTGCACAATTTTTGGACCTGATTTGGGTGTACCCATGTTTTCAACTTGAGCTATCCATTACCAATAAACCGATGAACTTATGTTGGCTAGGGGATTTCTTGGCATTTAATTACAGTAGCCACTTGCCTCTACGACACATTCACCCTCCTACTTTCAAATTTAGGCGTGGAACCGACAATAGATTTAATAACGGTGATATTCACTTGAAAAAATGTAAAGTTGAAACAACTGGAAAGAAGAGGAAAAGAAAGCCCTTTTAATACGAAACCAAAAGAACTGTTAAAAGAGTATACGAGGTTAAAATTGTGCTCTATATGTTGCTGAGAAAACTGAGATATGTAATTATCTAATCTAATCAATGTCTCTTATATTAAATATAACAGCATTATAACTGAACTGTATTGTAACGAGTTTTTGTTTTAAAAAACCGGTTTTACTAATTTTGATTATTCTATAGATTGCTAAGTTGAAAGCGGAGAAACGTCAGCGCGACCAGCAGCGCAAGGCCAAGTTGACCGAAAGCCGAAAGCACTTGGCCAGCGTTAGGGTAGTGCAGCGTAACCTGGTGTTCGTTGTGGGACTACCGATGAGGTTGGCGGATCCGGAGGTGCTTAAAAAGCACGAGTACTTCGGCAAGTTCGGAAAAATACATAAGGTGGTGATCAATCAATCGACTTCGTACGCTGGCTCGCAAGGGCCCAGTGCAAGTAAGTAGGTCAAAATGAAACTATATCAACTCAAACTCTGATACACATATCGGCTTTTATATCGGGATTTATTTATACATATTTATATTTTTCTTCATACCAAAGACATACTAAAATTTATTCTGTTTATAAAATTACACTTATTGAGTGACTAGTGCGAGTAACGATCAAGAAGTTCCAGGATTTAACTTCATATACAACTATTGTAACTCTTCTTCTTTAAGTGCCGTGCCCCAATCGGAGGTTAGATATTATCATCACTATCTTTACTCTATATCTACTGCTGCTCTGAAGAGTTCTATAGAACAGCATTTAAACCAGTCCCTTAAATTCGTCAACCATGACACTTCTTCCTCCTCTTATCTTTCCCTGTATTATCAGCCTTAGCAGTTCATATCGCTGTCCCCTCATTACGTGTCCCAGATATTGTAACTTTCTTATTTTTAGTGTGTTTATTATTTCGCATTCTTTACCCATTTCTCGCAATACTTTCGTGTTAGTTTTCTTATGTATCCATGTTATTCTAAGCATCCTCTTGTAACACCACATTTCAAAGGACTGTAACTTATTTATGTGTTCTTGCTTCAATATCCAGCTTTCAAGTCCATATTACAGTATCGAAAACACGTAGCGTCTCAGTGCTCTTACTCTCAGTTCTAATCTAAGGTCTTTGTTGCTGAGAATTGTTTTCATTTTTACAAACGCATTTTTTGCTATTTCTATCCTGGCTCTTATGTCGGTTATTTAATCATTTGTCCGAAATTCAGGTTCCTAAGTATTTCATTTATCAAACCTTTCTATCGGTACATTTCCCAAATGTATGTTTGTTGGTATATTTGATTTCTTTGTTCGATCATGTATTTGGTCTTTTTTATATTCATTTTTAGTCCATATTTTTCACAGAAACTGTTTGTTTTGTTTAGCAGTAATTGTAGTTGTTCAGCAAAACTTGCCATAATCACGGTGTCATCTGCATATCTTATGTTGTTAATAGATCTTCCGTTAATTATTATTCCTTCACTTTGAGATAGTAATTCTTCTTCAAAAATGGCTTCACTATATATAATAAATAGTAATGGGGACATAATACATACCCGCCTAACTCATCTCCTGATTTCAATTTCTGGACTGGGTTCGTTATCTATTACGATTTTTGCTCTTAGATTCCAGTAGAGGTTTGTTATTATTCGTAAGTCTCTATGGTCTTAATTCTCTTAAAAGTACATTCTCATAAAGGACTCTGCGACTCTTATTTATAATCTATTTATCTCTTTCAGCGATTTCCTTTTAACGCTTTCAATCGAGTCAAATCTTCGCGTTTTCAAAGATCGCTTGAGCTTGAAAAAACATCTGTAGAAACCAGGTCTGGTGAATAGAGGAGTGAGGGCATGTCAAAGCCGTTTTTGTTGCAGAAATTGCAAATAAGTGACGCAAAATGAGCTAATGCGTTGTCATGGTGCTGCATCAAATCCCCACTTCGCTACATCTCCGGTCCCTTCCTTCCCAAAGCCTCACGCGAATTTCTAGACATCTAAAGATAACAAAACAATTAATTTTTCACCTCTTAAAGGAATGTGCACCATACCATGTGTACTATACATTCACTTACAGTATTGTGCGAATTAATGGAATCATAGGCTGTTTTAATGAAAAAAACAGTTTATTTAGTAAAAAATTATATTTTGACAAAACTATAAAGGTAAACTTACATCATTCAGTAGGAAATATGTCCCCCTTTGGCAGCAATTAGTGCTTTTACCCGTTTTGGCATATATTCTATGAGTTTCTGGCAGTTGTCAGATATCCTTTCATCTCGATACCAAACCTGAATGGCCGCTTCTATCATTTTTGTTTTAGTGATACAGTCGATTTTTCGCAGTCTAGCTTTGCAAATGGCCCATAAATTTTCAATGGGGTTGAGGTCGGGCGAATTACCGGACCAATCTAAAACATTAATCTTATTTTTTAAAAATGCTATCATTTCCTTTGATTTGTGACAGGGAGCGGAGTCCTGTTGAAGAATCGCTCCTCCTTGGGGTTAACATTTTTGGAGTTGTTTGTCCAAATACTTTTCCAACATGGATTTGTATTTTTGGCTGTTCATCATGCCTTCAATTGGCACCAAAGATCCAACCCCCATGTATGAAAAACATCCCCAAAACATTTTCTTGTGAATATTGAAAAAATGAAAAAAAAATTCACTATTCCATTAATTCGCACAATACTGTAGCTATATTTGTAGCCGCAAATAAACTTCTAACATTCCATGTGCACATTTTAAAATTAGATTTCTTTATTTTTAGGATTTCTTCACGAGGTTTTCGCATGTTTACGACCTGAGAGGCCTCGTTCTCCTCTCCTGCCGAATCTTGGCCTCAGCTTTCCATGACTAGTAACGGTGTGCAATTGCAGTGTCAATTCTATGGTGATTTTCCCGGGGGTGCTCTATGAGCCGTTAATGCAGTGGTTCCCCTTTGCCTTCTGCATTTTTGTGCCGTTGACCATTATTTGTTGATTTATTGATACGTTTCTACGCGTAGTTGTAAACTCACGCCTCGTTCAATATGATTATGCGTTTGGATTTTTTTTATCTTCATCTGCAATTTCAGGAAGTTCCTAACAATCTTAAAACACTTTTTGAATTGAAAGTTTTTATGTATATGTTACATTTTGTGTATATGTCACGATAAACAATAATTCCCACTGTACTGCGTTCCGTTGCGACGTTGCCATTAATTCCATAAAGTCCTGGAACCGAATGATGAATATTCGTACTTTCAAAATGGCATCCATTAGTATATAGTTTCTTCGTTTGATTTATTTTCGAAAACGTTTAATTCCAGGTGCCTATGTAACCTATATGAAAAGTGATGATGCTTTAAGGGCCATACAAAGTGTCAATAATATTACTATAGACAGTAGAGTGATAAAATCAAGTTTAGGAACTACGAAATATTGTTCGCATTTTATGAAAAACCAAACCTGTCCCAAGCCAGACTGTATGTATCTGCATGATTTTGGTAAGTAGCAAGTTATCCTCTTAGTATTTAAAAAAAAATGTAGATATTGTATCTTCTCTATAGCAGAAGCCACAGTTAGAACGGTCTTACGGGCGCAGTGATGCCGCTCATGTGGACACAGTGGTAGGTGTGTGGTAGTTTGGCGATTTTCCCAGCTTCGCGTTCATATCACCCATAGCATAACCTAGGACAATAAATATTATGAAATTTTCCCCTTAGACGTATTTTGCATATTCTTTTATGAACTGGAGTGAAACCCAATACTAACCTGCGGCATTTGTGGTTTACCATAAAACCCACTCCAAAGGCTCCTTGTCTTTCTGCTCCACAGTAGTACATACTGTATTCGTTTATATTTATGCAACCATGCACTTTAAATCTGATTTCCTGGAGGGCTGCTATGTCTACTTCGTACTTCAATAGTTCCTGTGCAATACTTTGCATTTTGCCTGCCTGCAGCATGGGATGAACAATTCCAGGTTCCCAGTCGCAAATCCATCATTAAGTCATTATTCCGTAGCTTTGGTCGTTGTCCGTTGGTTCGTCCGGTTAGTTCATTGTTCGTAGCATTCGTGATAGCTGAGTTTTAGGTGAACAGGTTATCGGCCTATTGCCGTTAGGCAGTCCAGTGCCAAGGCGGCTGGCTATAGCTTCTGAACAAGCTATGCTTTCTCCCTTCCTCGTCTGCCCTGGCCCTACCTTCCATTGGGGTTGGTTACTTGCACAGGTTTACCGAGGTTCAGCCGTATGATCAAGATCACACTTCTTGGAGGATATTTCTCGTTAATTAATACTAATCGCAATCCATATCTAAGTCGTTTTCATCCTCTGAATAATCTCCTATATTAATTATCATCAAATCAATATCTTCCTGCAAATTGTCCACCGTAAACATTTTTTTTTTCTACTTTCTGGACGTGGTTTACATGCGTATGCAACTGCTCTTTAGATACACGTTGGTAAGCTTTTCTTTAAAATCGACGTTGTTTGAAGCCACATACCTTTTCACTTGACTCCACACCATCTCAATCCGGTTCAGGTCGCCATGGTAACGCGGCAGTCTCAAAATCTTAACGCCATATTTTTCCGCAATTGGTTCAATTTTGTACTTGTCGTACTCTTCTCTAAATGCGACCTCAGTATCCAGTAATTCACTTTTTAGCTAATATTACTCGAAGAAAATGTTTATTTCGATTAGCCAACCCTTGATTTGCCTTTTGTTCCTCTATTTTATCGGGAAATCAAATTTGCGAGAGTGGTATGACGCGTTATCCAAAACGAAAACGTTTTCTTTGTCTTTCGGCAAGTTTGGAATTAACGTCTTCCCAAACCCTTCTTCCTATAGATCCCCGTCCATTTCTTGGTAATCAGCGGTTCACTTCTTGGCCAAGAAAGTTCATTCGGCCCATACACAAAACCAGTTTTGCTTCCAGCATGAAGAAGAACAAACCGAAGACCTCTTTGGGTTGGAGCTTTCCAATCTCGTGGATTTTTGATCATTGTGCCCTCCATTCTTTTTTGACTGAAGCACCGACGTTAGTCCAAGACTTATCGTTATAAACAAGGTGCACATTATCCTTGATTTCCCAGTCTATCGCCAAACTACCACACACCTACCACTGTGCCGACATGAGCGGCATCGCTGCACGCCGTAAGACCAACACTGCATTATAACTGTTGCTTCTACTATAGTCTAATATACCAACATATGCAGTTGAATCAATGCATAAAAGAGTCATATATTCAAACGAAAGGCTTAGAATTTTCAGTTCCCGAGTGACGTAGATACGCAGCTCGGTACAGATTTAAGAATATCGTTAGTTCCTTATATCGTGACATGAACTGAAATTTATTCTTAATAGAGATGGTTTGCACAGTATAACCGTTAAAACATATTTTTAGATATGCATAGAAAGATAGACGTATAGAAAGATAAGTAAATGAAGTTAACATTGTTTTTGTTTGTATTAAGGTGATCCAGAGGCTAGTTTTACCAAGGAACAGATGCACGCCGGAAAACATCAGGAATACGAAAAGAAACTTCACGAAAACCTACTCCTCCGCACCGCCAACAATAACAACCAGTCCAGCAGTTGTGACAATTCTAAACCTTCTATACCTATACCTACATCAAATTCTACATATAAATCGTCTTCTAAAGATAATATGACAGCTGCTCTGTCGAGTAGCGTGAGCAGTAGTAGCAGCACAACGTCTAATAGTAGTGGTACAAATAAGGAGAACTGGCCGCATTTAAATACAGAGAAAGAAAAGAAAGACAAGGAGAAAGGAAAGAAAAGCAAAGGTAAGGGGGAGAGCGGGTGTAGGAAGGGCGAGAGGAAGGAATCTTACAGTAGCGGAAAGAGCGAAGTTAAATTCGATAGTGGTTTTAGGACTGATAGTAAACAAGAGAAAAACACGTCGCCGCCTCTCAGTGAACCAACAGCAACGCCGTCTCCTCCGACGTTACTAGAGTCACAACTGTCTGTTCCAAAATTAACTACGCCCATAGTCGATGATAATACTAGTTTCTTTTCACTTAATTCGTTTCAAAAATTACCTTCCAATAGCTCGGGGGCGGAACACGCGACCGAAACAGATAGCGAGGCGCATCCTTCTAGTATATTAACAGATACTTTACCAAATATCAACACATCAGAAGACTGGGTGGCGGCGTTTGGATTTTCTAGAAATTCGGAGGCTAATTTAGGTAAGTCTTTCATTTTAATCTTGCTATACACAAACAACATAAAAAATACATTTTTTATTTTAAAGAAGTACCTAATAAAAGACCAGTTATTTTCATCATTATTATTGGCTCCACAACCCATGGTGGGTCTTGGTCTGCTCAAAGATAAGTCTCTATTCTCTGCCATTCTTCGCCTTGGCTTTCCAGTTTCGTACTCCCAACATTCTCAAGTCTTCCTCCACCTGATATCGTGCTCTGGGTCTGAGCCTCCTTCTCACTCCATCTATTATTTGGTTATAACTATGTTTTGGCGATAATGAACTCATTCTTCGGAAAGAAACCCCAACGTAAGTGGACATGGAAGAGTCCGAATCATAGAACAAAAAATGAGATTGATTTCATAATCTCAAATCGGAAAGATATTGTTCAGGATGTAACAGTATTGAATAAATTTTCAACAGGGAGTGACCATAGACTAATTAGAGCAAAAACCACTTTTAACACTGAAGTTGAAAGAACAAAAATGATCCTCAAAAAGAAAAGTGTCCAGCAGTGGATAAGCGAAGATTGAATGATGATGACTGAGATGCTGAATTCTATCATGGCCTTGTACAGTGCCTTTCTTTCAACACTATCATAGACACATCTAAAATCAACAAACAGGTGATGAGTATCAATGCCATATTCATGTTTTTTCCAGAGCTTGCCTTAGAAGGAATATTTGATCGGTCGTTGATCTTTACGAAACCCACACTGATATTTACCTATTATATCATTATTACAATATATGCCAATATTTTGTATGTTACCTTTAGGAGGTTTATTCCTCTGTAATTGTCACATATTGTTTGATCTCATTTCTTATGGATAGGTACCATTATACCTACATTCCAGTCTTCTGGCAACTTTATTTGCTTCCAGATCAGTTCTACCAGTCTACATATACAGTATGTCAGGTTTTTTTGCCATGCTTTAAAAGTTTTGAAGGAATGCCATCTGCCCCAGGAGCTTTGTTTTCTTTCAATTTCTGTATAGCTTGGATAACTTCTACCTCTGTTGGGATGTTATCTTTCTCTCTTTCATCGTCAATGTCCTCAAATTGGATTTCTGATTAGTGGAGCTCTGTCTCACCTCTTATATTTAGCCTTTCCTCGAAGTTTTCTGCCCATCTTTCTAGTATATGGTCCTGATCACCAATGATCTCCCCTATTCTATTTCCAACGATTGATAATCTAGGATTGAATTCTTACCTGTTCTGGTTAATCCATCTGCCTAGTATATTTCGTCTTATCATCATTTTATATGTGCCTAGTATTTTTCATCTGAAAGTTTTTAATGAAAGATTAAAAATTACTTTTGAACATTTTCAGGGAAAAGGGAAGACAAAGATATGTTAGATTCATTTAGGAAAGGATTTGGTGTAGTAAATCATAATACAGGATTTAGTAAAGGTATGATATATTATAATTGTTGTAATTTTATATAAATATCTCTATAATCTCTCTATTAACCTAATTGTAAGTATTGGTACTAATATTTTTCAATGGAAACACGTCTAAAATTTTAAGCTACTTTTTGTTCAACAAATTTAAAGGAAATATCTATTAATATCAAGACAGGAGTCTCATTACTCTACAAATCTATTAATTGTTTGCTGTTAAGCCATTTTCGGGTATTTGTGAAATTATTTCTTAACAGAAATCCCTACCTGTGCATCAGAATTTATCCATCTCTCTCTTTTAGCGAATTTTTTATGTAGACCACGTATCAATCACAGGGTAATAAGTCGGAACTGTTATATGGATGTTATAAGATATTGAATTGTATGAATCACAATGTGTTGGACTGTATTTTGCAAAGGAATGACACTTATTCTGTTGTCATAGTGACGAAATATTTGTAATCCCAATAAAATGTGTTTTCATTGAACAATTTAGTACTTTTGTTCAAGTTTTAATTAAACTTCAATAAAAATCGTAGAAAAATGCTTTGTTAAGTTCTCAAACATAATTACATATAATTAAATGAAATTAATTAAACCAACTTGATGTTACTTTTGTAGGAGTAGAACCATATAACAATGGATTTTATGAAATGCCTTCGAAGTTAGATGAAAATTTAATGGACATGCTCTCTGTCAAGGCGCCCCCTACTTACCCACCATATAAACTAAATCCTCCACAACCTCAAGCTCCTCCAAGTCATACGCACAACGGCATGAATGGCCTAGATCAAAATATGTCAAAGTTCTTCATGGAATTTCACAAAAACAATAAAGGTAAATAATAAATGTTTACTTTATATTCTTTATTATTTCTTTTAAATACTCTTTATAATGTTTTGTCCTTTATTTGCTGATGTTTTGAATTACAGTAAGATATTAAATGTTTATAAATATATTTTATTTGAAATTCGTTGTACGTCATTCAATTTGACGTTGACATTTTCGCACAGTGTTGTCGGATTTTCGGTATAGTAGAGAATATAGGTAATTGTGAAATGATAAAATTGTTAACTCATTATTATTACAAATTATGTTTACTGTCATGAAAAAAATATAGAACAAAGTTATGATTCATAAAATATTCATAATGATTAACGTTTTGGATATCTAAATATTTAGACAACCAGTAACCTTTGGAAAAATAAAGTATTTGAGATAAAAAAATTATTGCTAGGGAGTTTCTAAAGAGTTTATTGAACTTTGACGACATAGAAATGTCGTACATAAACATTTTGGATATGAAAAAGTTATCCATGGGATACGTATTGCTTTACTAACCATCAACCAAATAGGAAAACGTGTGTGGGTCTTATTTCTACCCGCCGAAATGAAGAAACAGTCAAGACTGATCAGCTGGAATGGTGACGAATGGATACATCTATAACTGACTTGTACTATGTCGCTCTCCTTATTCACCAGATTTACCTCGTGTGATCATTTTCTATTTCCAAACTTCGAATAACTCTGTTTTGAAACGAACGATGAAGATATGGCCGAAAATTCGATAATTTGTATTAACCATGACGGACGTCTAGCGAAAAATAGTTCTGTTAATATTAATTTGAAATAAAAATGTCGGAATTGTAATATGAAATAAAAATGACAACCTGCACGAATCGGATGCGCCAGGGTTCCGGTCTTGGCTAAGGTTCATGCTCGGCCGGTAATGCAGATTCAACGCTTACCGATAGTGACGTCAGAATTGGACTTTTACCGTCTTGTCAAAGCGACTCATGCTCTATTGTAGAGTATGGGTCATTTTGGTGACATTTTAGGATTTAAGGATTATGATGGTATAAAAAAAAACAAACATGGCGACTACCAAAAGGGCATTACATCATATCTCCATTGTTATTTGTCAGATTGGAGTGTGTGATGCTTTAAATGAAAGGGGAGAGGATAAAGATTATATTAAGATCGAAAAAACAAATATAGCGACTCCCAAAAGAGCACTACACATTATTTCGAACAAAATTACTCTCAGAGAGGGATAAAAGGCGTCTCGTTATGCGAAATGCAGACTATGTTGAAAAATGAATGAGAAACGTAACAAATGTAGTGCGTTTGTGCGTAGATTAGATTAATATCAAACCACCCTCGTATTTTTAATTGTACATTTTTCAGATATTAGTACGGGACAACAGCAACAACAGTATAATAATGGATTTAATGGTGTACATCCGGGCTTTTTCTCTGGAGTGCCGAACAATTCAATGTTATTACAACAAAAACAATTAGAAGAACAGCTTTTACAACTTAGTTTAAAACAAGGTAATTATTCAAAAACGGGAAATGTAGTATAACGTGCTATATCTTTATTTTGGTGAGTTTTTGGAATTCCTCAACATTTTTCACGGAATCAAGTCGATCTTACATCATGTTTCAAGTTACACGTGCTATTCATATCGAACTTACATTTTAAATCAATTAATACAGGTACAGGTTGCAGCCCGTTGCCAGTAGGACGTATTTTCGTCTTAACCACCGAACTTCTGCCACGTGATAAACTATCGGAAGATCAGCATTCATGCAGTGGCGTATCTGCGAAGCATTCGTGTTATCTGGTATTCAGACAGACAGCTGTCTTTCATAGTTTCAGTATCATAACAATAATATCATTATTTTCCGAGATTTTTCAAATTCCAGGTGTTATTCATATATAAATTGAATTTTAGATCATTTGGTATATTTTAAATCCATTCAATACATGTACAGATGTCGCAATTTATGCTCCACTGCTCGTATGACGTATTTTCACCTCTAATCACCGAACTCCTACTAACCACCAGCTAAACGATTGGAACCTCAGCGTTCATTCAGTGGCATATCAGTTACAGTTAATTTTTTTATATTGTTCCATACAGCTACAATAAACGCCAGTTATGATGAGGTTACCACCGGTAAAACGATTGGAAGCTTGACATTCATTCAATGACGTATCTGCGCAATTTTAGTTTCATCTATTGATGTATTTAGACTGTTTTATTTCTATTTACTTACGATACACAAATAACGGTATGCTACTCAAGGAATAGAAATGTGTACTCCGACGCGCATGACGTCATCTATAGGGTACTACGGTGTTCGAGATGTATGATTCCCTGTCCCGGTAGATGTATTTGTTTTTACAAATTAATCACCCCTGTGATAAGTCTTTATAATTACTGGAAAAAAGCTGCTGTAATTGTTCAGATATTTAATGATTGGTTTGATCTATTAAATTCTAGATGTAAGTTCTTTGTCAATTCTTCAACACGAAATGCATATGGTACATATTTGGATAAGCAGTCACGTCTACTGGAAGAAATGTCAGAAATAGTCAATTCAATGCGGGTTGGTAAACATAAAGGACTTACTCCATTTCAAAAAGGGATATTGCTTACTAATAGATCTCTGAAAGAGTTACCTTCTTACCTACAAGCAAAATACAACGTTGGCGATATTTAAACTTCGAGGTTGAATCAAGACGTGCTAGAGAACTTTTTTCTTATATTCGAGGTGCAAATGATCATTCTTCGCCAATAGATTTTAAATATAGATTAAGGTTGTATATTTTAGGATACCTTTTAGGCCGCATTGCTATTGAAACTGGTGAATCCTGCGTAACAGCTCAATAGAAAATCCTCAATTGCCAAGCGGATATTTTGGCGTCAGAAGATATTCACAACACAAAAAATGTTGTCTAATTTGATAGAAAAAACTGAAGTTTCGAAAGAACCTCAGTCTGAATAGAACAAAATACTGCAAAATACATTTATAGAAGCTCACTACTTGGAGGAGGATCATATAAGTGACGATGACGTTTTGAAAGTCGCAGACAGAGGTGAAAGAAAAAAATCATCGGGACTCTTTTAGGTATGTTGCTGGTTTTGTTGCATACAAATTCAGATATAAATATAGTTTAGGAAATTCTACAAAAACTTATCGAGGCATATATGGAACCAGATTGGCTACAGACAGTTTCTAGAGGTTCTCTTTTGTACCATGGAAGCTCTTTCGTGGAGAATACCACGATACCATTTGAGGTACTCCTATGTCTCAGTAGGACACGCACATTATACAAAACGCAGTCGCATGAAGTACCTGTGTACACTCTCGTACTCACTGCACTTCGATCAACTTCACGAGTGGTATAGTGGCCGCTTAAAATGAAGAGAAATGAACAGATAGATTAGTTTCAGTAACTATTAAAGAAAAACTCGACAAAAATATGTCAAAGTTTGTTAACTATTAATAATAAATTTTTATTTTGAATTGTCGGCCGGATTCATTATTGAAATATTGTAAATTAAGGTAATGTTGGAAAATGCAAGTCAAAGTTCGAAGATATTTTAACCATTCTACATACTTCAAAATACACGTTTTGGAAATATTCCAATTGGGACCGTGCAAGTTCGGAACAGCGACACCTGGTGTCGTAAATCAGCAAAATTTACTGCGCTTTCATGTTAGATCGAGGTTACCGGATAACTGTCAAGGACATAGCCCCAAAAAGAATAAGAAGAAAAAGTAAGATTGAGGTTATGTCGGTATGTTATTAAAAGGTAAACGTTGTATGTAGTGTAAATACAAATAAATATTTTATTAAATTACAGCATTACTGTTAATATGGATGCAATAATAAAAACTGGATTTGAGAAAGTAAATCACCAAATAACGTTTTCAACCAAGCACTGAGTCAAAGGGAAACGCTTTAGTAGTGGCAAATATCAAAAAATAATGGAAGAATTAAGAAAAATAAATTGCCATAAAAATGCTAATGCAAAAATTAGCAGGTTAAGTCCATGATATCATCATATTGGTTTGAACAATTAATTCTTTCCCTGTAAACTTTTGGACAGCGAATATATCTTAATGCATCTTCAGAAAAACTTGAACTTGATGCATTTTTGTAAACTTAAAAAAAAAATAAAATTTAAACATTAAACTTGATTTTTGGGTTAAAATGAACTCTAAGTGAGTGTTATGAAACTAAAATTTACACTTAAAAGTGAACTTTTATTTATTATTTATTTCAAACTGACTTTAAAATCGGGCGCAAGAATAATGCATAATTTAGAGTATGTTACTTATGCTTTTTTATGATATAAATCCACTTTTCTCTTTGTAGTAGCTTTGTGCTTCGAAGTTGGAAACGAATAAATCTTAAATTGACCATTTTTTGTTGTATTTTTACAATTTATAACACAGCATTTCCTAAATCCGATTTTCTTCAGTGACAGAAGGTGTAAATACACAAAAGAATATGAAATATGACAATTGACAATATGAATTTATGAAATCTATAATCTATGAAATGTGCAGTAAAAAATGCAAGATTTCTCCACTACTCGCGCACGATCGTTTCTCGTATCCCCTCCAAGTACGTGCACGTCGCCAATAATGAATCGAAATATGTATGTATAAAATAGAATTAATTTTCATGTATATTAATTAAAAAGACATTATTATATTCCTACATTTATATAAACATACACACTTTATGTAGCGAAACGTCGAAAAAAAGTTTTTTTTATTTTTCAATAATCAGAAAACCTACACCCAAGAAAAAGAATAAAAACATTGTAAACTACACATCTTTTAATATAAAATGCCAAATATTCATGCTAATATTATATTTTGATATTAATCGACTTACAGGACAAGCGTAAAGTGTTCTGATAGAAACTTTGCTTCGCACATGACGTCACACAATGCGAAAGAGAGCTAGCGTACGCAATAGCATACCGGTATTTGTGTATCGTGCTATTTACTTAACCAATGCCGCTGAGATTAATAATTTTGAAATCTACGTGACGAAACCTCACCATTATTGACGATTTTTGTGAGATTTACTACAAATATAGGTACAAAATTAGACATAGTGTAAATACTACAGAAAATTGGTTGTTTAGAGTTAAAACTTGGTTCAGCAAATCCCACTGTAAATATAACCTGACTATAATAATAATAATCTAATATAATCTGACCGGCTTTATTTTTAGGATATGGTAGTTCCAATTCGGTTTATCAGAACGGCATAAATACACCAATATATAACACAAACGGAGAAAACGGAGGATTCGGAAATTTGCATGGGTCACTATATAATAGTTCATCTAATGTTAAACAAAACGCAAGAACTTCAGAGGACGATTTAGGATTTGATCCTTTCCAGGAAACGCAGAAAGCATTTGCAGAGTTAATGGCTACAGAACAGAATCAAAAATCACATAATAGTATAGGTAAGTTTTATTTTAATTTTTAAATAAATATCGGACTGCTTAAAAATATTAAATATAAAAATTAATAAATTATAAATATAATTATAAAAGTATAGTAAAGTTGAGTAAAGTTAAATATAATTGAATTGATCATTTCAAAAACAACACGAGTCACATGTTCCCAATTTTACAGGAGAGCAAAAAACTAAATAGTTGAAAGATGGATGGATGACCTCAAAATCCAAACTTGTATTGTAATTGTGTTTCTAATCATAATGATCCATAAATCATCTCGAAAAAAATTAAGGTTTTTTTGAAAAATGACTTTTGAAATATTGGACTAATGCTGTTTTTGCATGAAATGAAAAAAAAAACGGAAATACAACCATTTACATTTTTATTTCGAAAGTATTCTTCTTCTTCTTGATGTGCCTATCCGTTACGAATGTTGGCGATCATCATGGCAATCTTTATTTTATCTGCAGCAGCGCAGAAAAGCTGCACAGATGTTGTATTGAACCAGATTCTGAGGTTCTTCAACCAAGATGTTCTTCTTCTTCCTGGACCTCGCTTTCCAAATATTTTTCCTTGCAGGATGGCTTGAAAGAGAGCATAGTATAGTATATTCAAAAGTATAGTAACTACAAAAACTGGTAATTATTAAATAATATTATGGAACAAAATCAAATTCATTATCTGACTCAGGGGCTACGTAGTCAGCTTGCTCACTGGTAGGCCACTGGAAAATTTTCTCGTAAAATGGTTTATATTCTTCTAAAATGCTGTTTTGAACTTGCTTGATGTTTGCAATTTTTTGGGATTAATGGCTACAGGATTATTTGGGTAAGATAATGATGTTGGTAGCAACACGGGGCGTTTGGATTTGGAAAGACGAAACGTATGACTAATGAAACCGTCAATAAAATCCTGATTCACAACCTGTACCTTTTGCATGCTTATCGTATTCAAACGACATAAACGATGGCGGAGAGAAGGTTCTTTTTTGTTGCTTTTGTACCTTTGAACCTAGGCTTTCATTGGAGAAGCAGTTTTGCTTGTAATATGTTTGCCACCAATTACGATAATCTAATATCTGACTTGTCTTCATCTCAAAAACGGGAAAATTTGTCCCAGTCCAACCATAAGGGAATAATATTGGTCTAGCACATAAATTCTGTCAAGCTTCTTAATTTTTGATTTCAGCAACCCAAAATCTCGATCATTCGGCAAAAATGAATGGCCTCTGATTGGAAAGTAATAGATTATTTTGGAAAATCTGCCTGTTTCCGTCAATGAGAGCAAAAACCGGATCATCATATGGTTCTTATTTTGTCCAGAAAAGTTGTCGCTGAACAAAAATACTTCTTGTAGGTTATCGGGTAAAAAAGTTTCAAAATAATGGACAACATGGAACAAACTTCATTAGCGCCTTTATTGGCTCGACCTTCATGATAAACGTAAACATAGATTTCTTGGAAACATTTTTCATACAGAAGCAGTTCACCCATAGTTGACGCAAATAAAATATCTCTTGTATCGGTATACAGGGCAGAGGAAGATTTTGCATAAAATCGAACGTGAGAACAGTTGCGTAATCTAGATTTTCACAAATATCTCTCACAAAATTTATCTTGTGAAATTTCTTAGATCTTCTGTTATAAACCGCTAGTTCAGCTTGTGCGGTACGTTTGGCATGTGCTCTTAGGGACTGGCTGTTGATTTTTGTAACCAATTCTTCGCACTTGATACAGGTATCAACTTGCGAGTCTACCAAAACGCAAAGAAAACTGTTCTTTAAAATATTTTGCGTAGTATTTATACTTAACATCCACCTTTGGATGTTTTTCTTTAAAAAGACTATGCATGGTTTTGACATCCAGGCGTGCATCAAGGTATCCCATTTTTTTACTTGCATAGTGTGTCTGTTTTCTGGGAAATGACAAAATATGATCATAAATGAGCTTATGAACTTCAGTGGATTTGGTATTCCATTTCGGGTGTTGTCCTCACCTATCATGGGGGGTCAAAGACGTAAGAAGCAAGCTACAAATTCTTTTTACACGACCTTCTGATATTCCATAAATCGAAGTAAAAGCCTTTTTACAGACCTTTTCGTTCTTCTTTCGATTTGGAACATGATAGGTGAATTGAAATTCTTTCAACACTGCTCCTTCTTTTCGGTCACGGTGTCTCTGAACAGGCACCTTTTTGATATTTTGCTGTAAGAATATATCTTGCTCATTTTTGGTGGAAAAGTGTGTCAACACAAAAAGCCAATTGTTCTTCAGAAAATTTTTGGAAACATTTTGTTCTGCTTCTAAAAGAAAAGAGACTTTTAAGGAATGGTTAAATTTCTAGCACACTAGAACATAAAAATTTGTAGCTAATTAATTTCTGTATAGTTATATTAAACCTCTTATTAATATTACAAAAAACGCCGATTTTTTCCTTGGAACAAGTGTTCATTGAGACGACACTAAGTTTATATTTTTAAAATTTGCAAAACAAGAACCTTAACGACAATATTACATTGCTGTAGTTTGTTTATTTATTGCGGAAAAAAATATGGTTTTATTAATGAAATATTAAACTATGTTATGAAAACTATAAAAATTTTGCCTATTGCTGATACAAACAGTAATAAACAAACCTCTATAAACCTACATAACAGCATAAATTATTACTTACTTGCATTTAAGTCCTGTAGCTCTAGCTGGTACAATATTTCTTTTATAGTTAGTCAGTTAGTGTGTTGTAAACCTTTAACTTTGGCACTACCCAACATTCCTTCTGTATTTACCTGGATTGGGTGTTCTCTTTTTTAAGGGCAAATGTTCATGTACACTATCATCAGATGAAGTAGGCATACTATTTCTTTGTTTAAATAACAAAAAACCAATAAATTTAAATGAATCGTTATGAAAACTGAAATAAAAACAGGGCAACATAAACGACTCAACAATCATACGATCTCGGCTACCAACCAAATTCTTAGAAATTATGTTTACAAATTTACAGCAAAAACTGCATACGTCCTGGACTCGTGTTGTTTTTGCACAGACCTTCAATTTTAGTTGTAGAGTATTTCGACAGATTATGTACGGACTGGTGTCATTTTTGCACATAACGTGATATTATATTAGAGGAGTCTATTCGGCACAAAAAGTTAGTTTATGAAATTGTGGACTTATGCACTTTTTTAAATGACCGATTCAATTACATAAAATTAAATAAATAAATTCTATAAACAAATAAAAATTATAAAATTAAAAAATATATGTATAAAATGGAAAGTTTTTAATGAAATTTAATTAACGTACCCTCCCATTATTTATGATTATTTTTAGAATATAATGATAGTCAAAATGAAATGAATATGATAAACAAATTCTATAGGTATTATATTTAACAAATTTTGAAAATTTCTTAAAATTATTTAAACAAACATTTTAAAGAAAACATTTTAAATTTTAAAGATCTTAACTGTATAGTGTTATTATAAAAATATTAACAATTCAGTAATAAGCAGAAATAAAATTTCATTAACCTATATAGTAATAACAAGTTATAAGAAGCATTTACTTCTGTAGGCACTCCTCAAGTGCCGCTGCAAATTTCGTAGCATATTGGAAAATATTTTTATTTTTTGTTGATAAAGTCCATTTGAAGCTAAAATATTGAATATTCTTTAGGTCATAGTCAAATTAATGGGGTAAATCTCAATCAGAATGGGCATCTGCCTCCGCCACCACCTGGCTTCGTTCAACAAAACCCTTCACATATGAACTCATTTGGTAAGTCCAGTTTATAGTCTTAGTATCTCATTTTATAGATGTGCATAAATTTTTAGGTAGTAAAATTTTACCTTATCTAAATGTGTCTAATAGTCCACAACAAATAAATAGTTCAACACAAAATAGTTGGCCTAGTAATTATAATTCCAATATGCAGCAACAACAGAAAAGTAAGTATCTGTTTCTTCGTTTCTTCTGCTAAATCTGCTTGTTCATAACTTTCCCTTATACATATTTTTCTCTGTATTAAATTTGACTTCAAATGCCAATCACGTGTACAACAGTCAAAGGGCAAAGTTCTCATCCTTTCTAAGCCAGTCCTTCAGAAAAATGATATGATAGCTCATTATGGATTAAATATGGTGTTCGAGGTGAAGGAGTGTTGACAAAAAGTAGTAACTAAAGGGTGATTCATTTAGAGGAACTTTTTTTGGTGGGGATTTGATTGGAGATCGTGCATGAATACTGTCAAACTGACATTTCGCCTTTGTTCAGTATTATTTGACATTTCATGATGGAAAGACAAAGTGGATTTTCACAGGTCCGATATCTGACGGTACGATGATACAATATAAATTTCAGCGAATTTCATTGGTTGAAAAATGACAGGTGGGATTTTCGTACGAAATTAAAATTCATCGGAAGAAGTTAAAATATTTTAACTTTTGCACGAAAATCGGATGAATTTTGACATTGTTGACATTTTAACTTGAACTTTAAAATTACTTTTGTGGAATGTTTATGTTTACTATTTGAAATATATTTAAAATGGAACAAAGACCTAATTATTATATAAAAATGCAATGAATAAAGTGTTGCTTTTCTATACTATGTGAAGCAAAAACGACGAAAAAGTAGCTCAATATACTTAATATATATTTTATCAAAAGTTGTATTTTGAAAATGGGAGTTCTGTGAGGAATATGTTTCGTGAGCTTAGAGCAATTATTTATGGTTCATATAATCGGCCTACCGAACGTACAATTCTTTACGATTAGTAAGTTTGCAACCCAGTTTTCATTATTGGATAACACGCGACCAAATAGACCACATCCAGAACGTAGTGACGAAAATATGTAGTGTGTGTGTGTGTGTAGAGTAATTGTATCCAAACGTCTGCGGTCCCTCCGGTGAGTACCGATCGCACAAGGATAGAAATTATTTTCATTCATTAATTTTTAATAAACGAAAATTTCTCCACCCAGATGAGATTCGAACTCATGACCTTTAGGTTTAAAGGTAGGCGCTCTTACTACTGAGCCACAGAGGGGGTTGGGATCTTGGTTTAAAAGCATACAAAATTCAATTAGTACAAGAGCTGAAGCCGACCCACCTTCTGAATCGTCACCGTTTCAGTCTATGGGCTCTTGATAGCTTTCAGAAGATCCACTGTTTTCGAGAAAAATTTTGTTTTCACACGAGGCCAATTTTTGGCTTAATGGGTACGTTAATAAACAAAATGCCCGTATTTGGGATGATGAACAACCCAAAGAGGGTCAAGGTTGCCATTACACCCTGAAAAACAACTGTCTGGTGTGTATTATGGGCTGGTGGAATCGTTGGTCCATATTTCTTTAAAAACAGAGGCCGACCAGAATGTTACTGTGAATGGAGACCGTTATCGTGCCATGATAACGAACTTTTTGGTACCTGAAATTGAAGCTCGTGGTCTCGGCGACATTTTATTTCAACAAGATGGCGCCACTTGCCATACGTCCTGTGAAAGCATGGCTTTACTGCGATAACGATTCGGTAAACAAATTATTTCACGCTTTGGACCAGTGAATTGGCCGCCTAGATCGTGTGCCATCTCACCTCTAGACTCTTTCTTTTCGGGCTACCGAAAGTCCAAAGTATACATGAATAAACCAGATACGATTGAGGCGTTGGAGGCCAATATTACTCGAGTCATTGGTGAAATACCAATCGAAATGCTAGAACGAGTCATCGAGAATTGGAATTTCAGAATGAACCAACTTAATCGTAGTCATGGCAAACATTTAAAAGAAATGATCTTAAAGAATGGTTCTTTTGTATGATACTAAAATTTTCAAATAAAATTTATTTTTTCATTGTTTTTTCTCGTTGAAAAAAGTACTTCTAAATGAATCGCCCTTTATAAGTAAAATACCTTCTTTACGACGACCAAACTTACTGAAGACGCAGGAGATGAAGCTTTGTTTAATAATTTTAGGTGAAACCCTATCAATATGGTAAGGGACACCGGAATGAAAGCATATTTTCCAGGACTGATTTTGCAACAACGATCGTATATATATATTGTTAGTAAACAGGTTATGTTGGAATGCCCTCATTTTCCACGTTAAATCCCATAAGAAAAGACCATTCGCATCAATTTTGACACTATAAGGTCACTCTCGAACAGCATATACGACGAGTCTTCGTTGGAACGGAGAGGAGTCAGTGAGATGTGACGTTCAACATGATATTTGACATGTGACATGTGATAACCAGTGACATTAGAAGTGTTACACCCAAAAGGAATAATGTCTTGAACTTAATTTTTTGGCAACCGAATGGCTATAGTCAAAACACTCTTTGATAACAATACCAACGTTTTATCTGTTCTACTTTTTGTAAAAATAAAGTATCATCTTCAAATTTTTTTGAATCAGTCTAATTGTATGCCTTGAGTTTGAAGAAACCAAAATTACCACATGTTAGCGATTTTGACAGGGGTAGAATTATTGCTTATAGAAATATGGGTTTGTCGTATCGCGAAATTGACCGTCGTGTTAATTGTACGGCAATAACGGACATGTGTGTGTCCTGTGTGGACAAATGAAGGTAGAGGAACGCGAAGAAGACCAACTGGTCAACCGAGCCGTACCACAGAGCGTCACGATAGGCGCTTACTGGCTCTGCATTACCATTTTGCTACTACCCGTCAAATTGCTGACCAAAGGTTTGGAGTAGTAGGTAGAAATGTTAGTATGCGTAAACTATACCGCCGCATTCGAGCATTTGGACTGGTTTCATTCCGCCCACTAGTGCTTCCACTGACCGCGGACCATTGTCATCAACGTTTGAATTGGTACAGAGAATGGCAGCATTGCATTCAAAGATATCTCCTATTTTGTGTATGATTCAAAGTATTCCAATGTTCCAATCAATGGGGAGGGATTTCTTTGTCTATATTTCTTTTATAAGCTGTTGTAATGCCATTATGGTATCATGACGATCTTCTTTATATAGTTCAGCTGGGATATTAACTATTCCGGGTGATTTGTTTATGGCTAGTTTTTTGTAACTGCATCTTTAACTTCAAGAATCATTGGTGGTTCCTCTTCCCTTTCGTCTCTTTCCCTTACCTCATCTCTTTCGTCTTCCAGGTTTTCTTCTTCTTCCCCTATATTAAGTGGCTGGGTAAAGTATTCCACCCATCTATTCAATACATCTTTCCCTGTGAATAGGTCGCCATTCTGACTTATGCATTGCCTTGTGGTTGCCTTGAATTGTTTTCTGTTGATGTTAGCTTTCTTATAGAATGCTCTGACTTATTTCTCTCTGTTGAGGTTTTCTATATATCGTAAGTTCCTCATTTAGGTGGTTTCGTTTTTTTCTTTTGTGTGTCCTCTTTTTGTGTATTTTCTCTATATACATTAGAACATTAATGTTGGTTGGTTTGACTTTTTAATGATTTTTTATCCACCAATGTTAACATGTTGACAAATTTTATTCGATAATTGTTATAAAGTTTTATTAAAAGGTTCAAATAAAGACATAACTGTATATTATGTCAAAGGAAATCTTTTAAAATACTCATATTATGATATCGTGCGTTATTAAATAGACGATTTTATATTATCATTAATTGAATGGGATGGCATTTATGACTTTTGACATTTATGATTAATTTTGACGTTCGAGAATCGTTACGAATCGAATTTAAATATCGATTTTTTATTTTTCCGCTTGTTTTACTATCTTTTATTGGCAGAAATACTTTTAATTTTATTCTTTTCCTGTAATGTCTCTATTTTGTTAGATATTTTTCATGTAGTTTTTAATTTAAACCTGCTTAGAGTAAATATATGATGACTAGAAATGAATTGATCGAGAGTAGTGAATCGATGTGCAGACCCGCTATTTCATGACGCTATTCGTGACGACTGCATTTTGTGACGCTAGTTCCGTGACGCTCGCCTCACCATTTCACTATAGAGAAAAAGTAAAATACAATGTCAGTATAGAAGCTTCGCTTCAAAAAAAAGTTAGCTAGTCTACAAACTCACACACTCCTAAAGGGTTAAAATTTTATCAGTATACTTTGAAATCGATTTTGCCACCAGTTTTTCAAATGTTGGTTACCGCCTCTGGACTTATCAAGGCAGTACTAATTATTTTGAATATTTTAGAATTTAATATCATTAGCCACTTATAGTATGTTGTAATAATTTTTTTTTCTTTTAGATATAAACAACACATGTAACGATTGGAAGGTATTAGATCCAGCGATTTTATCATCTAGCCGTCATTATCCATTAGCAAATATGCCTCATCTTAGAGATTATACAAATTTATCACAAATAGGTACTCAACAACAGATACAACAAAACGGCGGGGTGCCGCCACTTCGATCGTACGAATATACAAATAACGCATTCTCAAATTTCACACAACAACTACAGCCAAATTTCAATAATTTTTCACATATAAATTCACAACAGAATCTGAATTGGTTTAGCAATGATATAAATTCACAGATATCCAGTCCACCGGGCTTCAGAAACAATACAGCGACTAAACAGCAAGAATGTTGAGGAAATGTCGATAGAAGGGGAACGCCACGTATGGGTCTCGCTTTTATTTTAATTTTTAAACAAATCTGTTTCAAAAAATAATCTAATTTGAAGTACCGATCTTTGTTTAGTGTTGTTCTATACGTTTTAATGCGATTATTTATATTGTTGAGATAACAGTTTACAATTATTTAATTAAATCAAATATATACAGTGTTAATGCACATCTTTTGCTCTACGATATTTCCATATTTAAAAGGGACCAGATATAAAATTGCTTTTCTAATCCTGTTTGTTCGAAAAAAAATTCGATAGAAAGAAATAAAAGGTAAGAAAAGTCTATCGTTTGGTTTGTGTAGTTTGTCTGTCCTTTAGGGGATTAGTTCAGCCAAAACTACAACAAATACACAAACTGTTGATTGATTCATATTTAACACTAAAAGTTATGTGGGAAAAAATTATGAAACTGAAAATTTTTGTTCAAGAAAACTACAAAAAGACAATAAAATTTAGCATATAAATAAGTTTCCCAAAACTCCATAAACCTATTCATAATACTACTTATCTCAAGTTTTATAATTTTCTGTGGGAATAAAACCAAATATATCATAAAATGGAAATTTCTTCCAATTTTCAGTATTTTTTCTGTGTTATTACATTCATAGAAGTCCTTTACTTGAAGTAATACCAGACAATGATGCAAGACAATGGAAATGGTCAGGAAAGTTTCCTTTAATAAGAAACCATCAAAGAATGGAGGCGTTTTCTCCAAAAACGTGGTTAAAATTCTATAGAGAACTCTACAAAGAAAATATATTTGCGTTTAAGGGAATATGAAATGAAAAGTACATTCTACAGTGGTACTTTCCACTAATAAACCATGAAAAGATATAAGAAAATCTACATTTGTGGGAAGATATATCTGAAACTAGTCCACCGAAGTGACGTTTATAAAATTCCAATGAAGTATATTTAATTTATTACACAATAAACTATTTATTTTATTTATTATGTTCATTTTTATAATTATAACAAAACTATTTTAAGTAATAGTAAATTTTACACCTGAAATATATTTATTATCAAAACTAACACCAAACTTACTCGGTTTCCAAATTGGACAGCATCGAATTTTGCTATGTCAAGCTTTTGATTCTCTTTCTGGAGTTTTCAACAGGTTTACTACTTGTTCTATATCTACTCACCACATTACTCTATCTATCACTGATCTTGAAAGTCAATTTATTGTTTCCAGATTTTTCATGATCGTTCCATTTTACTATAATCGTGATTTGTTACATCAGGGTTCGTTTATGTACTTGTTACATTCTTTATACAATGCCAAATATTTGACTTGTCTGTCGTGTCTATTATTGTATATCTTTGCCTGTCCTGTCTTGAGTAGATCTCCAAAAACTCGCTTCTATCTATAGTGACAAGTGTGCTTCGAAAACTCTCTTTTACTGTCAACATTTCACCACAGTACATGATTTTTCTCTTGAATATTCCCCCAATTGTCTTATCTGGGACATATAGTAAGGGGAAGTCTATATAAATTATTACAACTGATCCTTAAAGGCAAAATAGAGGGCCGTATAGAGGTGTAGGAAGAAAACAAGTTTCTTGGTTAAAAAACATACGTGAATGGACTCAGATATTAAATGCAGAACAATTATTTCATGTTGCAGAAAATCGAGAAGCCTTCGTCTCGTTTTTAACAGCAGATCATGTTACATAGTTCTTTGTATTTTTACTACAAAAGTATTTTATATAAAATGTTCTTATTCTAATAATATTTTTATATATTACAATGTACTAAAAATATTTTAAAGAGTTTATGTTTAATACTAACGCCACCTGTCGGCAAGTTTTTCAAAAACTTGCCGACAGGTGGCTTGAACTTTATACAATAACCTATGCAGATAAGCTTCACCTGGTATTCGCGTGTTTTTTGGCGACATCAGATGGCGCAGGAAATTGAGCAAACGTATAAATTATAATTCGTTTTAATTGTAGATTATGTTCTAAATTGATCTGCTAATTAAGGCTTTCATTTGGTATATATTTTTGTTGATAACGACTATGTTTACTATGGGTTTGGTTATGACGAAATATAGAATAAGTTATAAGCCTCATATCTGATATTTCCATCAGCCTCTCGCGATCATATCAAAGTTTGTCTGCGAATTGATTTCACATATCTTCAAACCAATATAAATTAGTTTTACTTCTCGATTATAAACAATAATTGTTTGTTTTAAGTATTTGTGTTTACACATTAAAGGTGAATTAACACTTGGATACTACATGTTCTTACTAAAATTGAAAGTTTTAACAAAGGGAACACACTGAAGATTCTTCCTGGACACACCAGAAGTAAGGAAAAATAAGCTTTTACAGAAAAATCGAGATGCAACAAATAATCGTTTAAAACTTTTGATTTCTTTCTTTCTTTTTATGGAATTCAGGCACGACTTTGAGCAAGTTTGAATAAAAGATGACGTTATTCAATGGTTTCCAGCGTATACCAACGGTCGAGGTTAGGTGACCGCCAATTGATTACTAGTCGTCAAAGTGTAGTATATAAAAAGGCCTTTTGTTTACGAATCCACACCAATCCTCAGTTCCTGATCTCCTTCTGGTGTGGTACACTATGCAATATGTAGACGTTCATGCTGGTTGGATTATTCCTTCTACTCCTCTTACCATTATACTGATATCATGCATGTCGCCCCAACTTTTAATTTTCTGCATTAAAATGATTTTTAAAAGATTATATTTGTCCCATCTTAAAATTTGGCCTAAATATTAGAAATTTCGCTGTTTAACGGTATTAAAAAGCTCTCTTTGAGTATTAGCTTCTTAAGACCTTCTTAAGTCCTCTTCATTTATAATATGGTCGACCCATGGAACTTTAAGCAATCTTAACATTTCGAACGCTTCAATGCAGTTTAGGGGTCTTACTTGAAGTGACCAGGTCTCGCTAGCGTACCAGTTCCTGATCTACAAAACTAACACAGACAGAGAAAGTACATGACACTTATAGCAGATGATCTAGCTTGATATGATAAACGTTTTTATAAAATTAGTTAACAAACTACTGGAAGGAAGTTTAAACCAGAAAGGACTCAAAAATCGTTGATACTACAATGGACAGGTGGTTGATTGAATTTTTTTACAGGCAACAAGAGATTAAAGATCAACCAATGAAGCTATTTATCGGTAAAATACTTCAGAGAACTTTTAGTGTATATAAACCAAATAGTTTTATTTTTTATAATCCAATTATGATAAATACGATTTTAATATTATTTTTTTACATATATTTTAACCAAATATAAGCAAAAAGTTTATAAAACCAACATAAATAAAATTTTAAAAAGTAACACATCGATTATATCCTTATAGCTTGTATAATTCCTTGAAGTGATTTGTAAAATCACGAATTATACCTCTAAGGCCCAGCTTGCATGGCCATGTGCAAAGCATCAACTTACCTAGCATTTACTCAAGTGATTCGTATGTTTTAACCTGGTCTGGCACAGATATTTGTTATTGAACAAAAAAAATCTGGTGTCCATTGGATAGGCACCACGATATTCAGATCTCCATATAATTATTTCCTCCCCTCATAGTAATCTCAACTGTCTGTCCTTTATTACTCTCAAACTGTGCTCCACGTCTGCAACCATCGCTTCCTTGATCTACATCTCTGTTCCACTTTCTCTTACAAAATTTTCCTGTGGTGTAATCCGGGCATCTTTCCACGCTAGTTTTCTCGATTTTACAAATTTAACTATTGGCCTCCCCTTTTATAAACAATTGAAATTTCTTATAATTATGCTCGAGATGTCTTCCCCCGCCGATCTGCAGATCTTTTCGAAGTACTCTTTCAAAAATCATACACCAGGTTTCATGAGCGTAGGTGACGGCATATGCTGCTTAAATTGCTTAATTTTGAACTGCCACGTGCACAAAAAACTACGCAGTTTGAGTATTTTCACTCTTAGGTTACCGACCTATGCGGATTCTTTGATTATCTCGGGAACAGTACACTAGCCAAATTATAGAATGCACCAAAATCGATATCCAAATTGAGTACTTTCGTTTGACGTATCTTGACCTTGAATGGCGACTGTATTTATTTTATTATAATGCACTATAGTATAATTTTCAGTTGCGTAAGTGACTAAATAAAATAAAATTGATTTAGTATTATAAAAAAAAAACTATCGCGCAAACAATTCATTTGAAGTTATTTAAACTCAGTTTAAATAACTAAAAAAAAAATTATGAGGCAACCTTTTAATTATTCTAGAAATCTAGTAAAACTAGCAAAATAATTTAATTGTATAGGATTAAAAGATGTTATTAATAGTACTTGTGATTAAAAATTCTATATAATACATGCATACGCTTTGGCTACTAGGAATAACGGCTATAGTATTGTACTTTGATTAAATCAAATTATTGATTAAAAAACATTAAATGAAAACATTGATTAAACATGATTAATTATTAGATGAAAACAATTGTAAAATAAAATTGATTTCACAAAAGACATAAACCATACGAGAAGATTGTTGCAATTTGCAAAGCAGTGAACACTGCAAACTCTCAGTCCTATTTCTCAAATAAAAATCATTCATTAACTTTCTAATAGAGGTATAAATGAAAATAATTGAAGTCATTGGTTTAATGGATGTAAAACATACCAAACACTGATTTGGCACCGATCGGAGCCGACAAGGAACGCGTGGTGTCGCTGGCGCCAATCGGTTTACTGCTTCATCGGTGGAAATAAAACACAGTAAATTGACACGGTACGAATGTTTTTTTAGATTTTTTATATATTTTTTTTAAGACTGAACTAATATTGATTTAATGTTATTGAATATATTTTATTTTCGTATTACATGGTTAATTTGCATATTCTTTTTGTTCATTTTTCCACGTTTCATGTTTTATACGAGCTAGGGGGGCAAATGTCTGCTCTGTTTGTATAATTGATGTAGATTCGTTAACCAAGATATTCTTCTATGGCCTGGACGCCTACTACTGTCTATCCTATATGTAATATTCGGCGATGAACACACATTTCAAAGGTCTTCATTATTTTATGTGCTTTTCAGAGACTGTTCCATTTTTTTGCTCCATAAAAACAGAATTTTAGAATCCTTTAACGCTTTCAGTGATCATGGTTCACAGATATTTGTAGAAATGTACCACTATACATCGGAGTTACAAGGAACGCTTAATATGCAGCTGGCGCCAATCGGTCTCACTCGTATTTGCCGCTTCATCGGCGGAAATTGAAGACAATAAATGGATAGTTTTTTTTTCACACGCAATTAACGTGATAAATGTTTTTTAGTTTTTTTTTTTAATAAGTAACTCGATGTTAGTTTTAATGTATTGAATATAATTTATTTTCTTATTATCAGGTGTATTTGCATATTCTTTTTGTTCCTATTTTCACGGTTCGTGTTTTAATACCTGCTTGGGAACGAATCTTTAGGCTCTTCCAGACTCATAATCAGTATAGTGTCATCGGCGATTTCAATTTGTTTTTAATACCGTTGGCAGAAATTATACTATCACTACATTGTTGTAATGAGGATTTTTGTATTTTTTTCTATTTCCCCGGGATACAAAATGCTCGCATCTGATTCACTTCAGCAGTGTGTCTCTGCCCATACGTTAATGTTTTTGTTGCTAATTAACACACTTATCAATTTCAGTTGGCGTAAACACGTTTATTTTGATATTTAAAATTAATTTTGTAGTGGGTGAGAATTATGGCAGTAACTGACATAATTACATGCCAATAGGTTGTATGTTTCAGTTACTGTCTCTTAAATGACATTTAGGAGACAGTTACTGGTGTGCTTTAAATTGGCTTATCCTTTTGGTGCCAATAAAGCGATGGATAATCATATATTATGAAGTAAAATACGAGTTGTCGTTCAAAATTAATACTTTATTTTTCGTCGTTCAGCTTGT